GAAACCCAAAATCTCTGTAAATGTTTATGAAAATTAATAAAATATAATTATAGAAAAAAAAGAGTCTTGACTAGTAACAGTAATGACCCAGCCGCTGCTGTGAAGTCATTTGTAACTGCTAGGGACCATCCATTGGGTTTCTCTGGTGGCTCAGTAGGTAAAAAGTTGTACTGCCAACTCAAAGGCAGGTAGTTCAAATCCACCAGCAATCCCCTTCCATGTGATTTACAGTCTCTGAAAACCCCCTGGAGGGTCAGCTGTGAGTCAGTTAAATAGGTAGATAAATTGGTGGTGTTATTGTTATTATGCACCATTGAGTCAGAACAAAGCCATAACTGACCCTCGAGGGGGTTTTCAGAGGCAGTAAATCTTACAGGAGGGCATTGTCTATCTTTCTCCTGTGGAGCAGCTGGTGGGTTCAAACTGCCTAACTTTGCATTGGCAGCACAGTGGTAAGAAACTGTGCTGTAATCCGAAGGCACGTGGTTCGATTCTTACCACCTGCTCCATGGGAGAAGGATGGGCATTTTACTGCCTCTAAACCAACTGGGGTCAATTCCAACTCAGTGGCACACACAACACCAAAGTCACCAGAGTGAATCTTATTGATTCTCTGCCCATCCTCCTTCATAGAGCAGCTGGTGAATTCAAGCCACTGACCTTTGGGTTAGCATCACAGCACACCTCACCACCAAAACTCCTTGTCATGATAATCATAGCCAACCTCTGTGGAATGCTTGTATGTTTCAAGCTTTGTCCTATGTGTTTTATGTACATATTAATTCCTTTAAAGACATCAGACATCATCTAAGGCTGTTTGTTGTCTCTGATAGCAATTTTTCTCCCCCAGGTTGAAAATTGGTGTCCTCATTTACCTTGGAGAGTAAAAAATCCCTATGAGGAAGCTGATCATAATTCATTGGTAAGTGATTTTGGAAGCATCTTAGTAGTATGAGTTTAGATCAGATGCCGAGCAAGTGCCTGTGGAATCTTCTACACATCCAAGTTCAATGTGACATAGTGCTAAGTGGAACAGTTCTGGTACCAGTCTGCATACCTGGCCAGTTAGCATGTGTTTACTTATTGAGAACTTCCCTGAAGGTTCTTAAATGATGTGCAACTCATATGAACAGTGCTCAACAGAAGACGACCCTCAACCAGATGGATAGACACAGGGACTGCAGCAACAGGCTCAAGTGTGTCAGAGATGAGGAGGAGGGCACAGGACAGGACAGGGTTCAGATCTGCTCTTTGTAGGGTCACTACAAGTAGTACTTAACTAAGTAGCATCTAACAACAGCAGTAACATGTGAATGATACCTGGTGCCAGTTAACAGTGTACTAAGCGATCTAACAAGGGTAATTGTTGTAATGATCAGTCCTGATGTAAACAGTGTCATAGAGACCTGTGGGAATTTATAAGGAACTAGCAGTCCTGGCCTGCTGCAGGCGTCAGGGGAGACTTCAGGGAGAAGCTGACATTGGAGGTAAATTTAAAATGATAAATGAGAATCTGGGAAGATGGTGACAGAAGCACACAGTTGTTCAGACCCTCCCCACAAATGTAGCAACACTCAGCTTTGAGAGATTTTGAATCAGGAAACCGAGGAAAGCATTGGAACTACAGACAGCCAAGAATCAGCAAGTCAACACAGTTGTAAATGATAGGAAAGGAGATTCTCCACCCCCCCTTACCTTCTCGCAATCACAAGAGCACAAGCTGTTGTGAAGCGCCTCAGTTGAAGAGCCTGGTTCTCTAAACTTCACACTTTTCACCTATAAATAGAAGGATAACTAGTAAAACATAATGGGAGTCCAAGGGGGGGAAGCAGAGGGGTGAGGATGGGGAAATCGCAGGGTCACACAATGTGGTGGGTGGAGGGAGGGGGTAAAGGAAATGGGAAAGATCCAGTGAGGACCTAAAAAGACAGGGTAATAGTGGGCATAGTTCAATGGTGATTGATTTTATAAAATACAATATATGGAAAGGATTGTATGAAACAATGCCAGTAAAGGAAAGAATGAAACACACAAAAACCCCATTATGTACATGAATAAAATACAATGCATATGAATAATTATATGAATACCAGTTTCAAAAAATGGCAGAAACCAGATGAGACCCAAGATTGGGCTCTAAAACCACAAAGCAGACCTTGCGGTGGATCTGTTTGTGGTGTGATGACCCCTTCCACACCTGGACACTGCCTCCTGCAGGGTGCTGTGCACCACTCCAGAAGGGGAGTCACCTCTCACAGCCAACACTTCAAGGACCACTGTTAGAGGATCACCCTTTGAATTTGGAGTTCTCCATGGTGCTGCCAAAAGAACAAGCAGATATGTCTTAGAGAAGGTGCAGCCAGAGTGCTCCTTGGAGGCTGAGATGATGAAGCTTCCTCTCACGTACATTAGGCATGTTGCTAGGAGAGAGACTTCCTTGGAAAGGGACATGATATCATGTTGGGAAAGGTGGAGGATCAGTGAAGGAGAGGAAGACCCTTAACGAGCTGGATTGGCACAGTGGCTGCAGTGGTGTGTCAGAGGTGAGTCATACTCGATTTGTGGCACTTAACACCACCACTACCACCACCACCACCAACAGCAACAACTCCTTGATAAGTAAGAATGGCAAAATAAGGGGCAGCTTTATCACACAAGCAAGGAATTTATTAAAGAGAGAAGGTAACCTGCAAGGGGAGGTGTGGAGCCCCTCGAACAGCTTACCTCATGCATGGCTCATGCCTTTTTGAACAGAGGAGCAGGAGGGGCTTGTTAGAAAGAGATCTCTATTGGTAAGGACGTCATATTTATTCATAAGCAGAGGTGGGGCTGCCAGGAACTGGCTTATGAAGAAAAGATGGGGTCGCTGGGTTACATGAACAGCCAGTCTTTATCCAAATGGATCCCATCTGTGAGGCTTCTGGGTCAAGAGTGGTTGCTGTTACGTGCTCTCGAGTCAGAACCAACTCATAGCTGACCCTCCAGTGGGTATGAATCCAGAGGCTGTAAGTCACATGGGAAGAGATAGCCCACCTTTCTCATTGAACTGGTGATTCAGCTCAGAGACGGGTAGATTCCAGCTGTCTCTGGGTTGACTCCATAACCACCAGGTACCTAGAGCTCCTGAGCAACATCGCTAATTATGGGATAGTGAAGATAGAACGTGAAACAAGGTGCTCTGATCCACTTCCCCTGTCTGGTGGAAAGCTTCCCTGCTTATTTGGGAAGGTCAGCATTTGGTCACAAATAGTATTGCTACACATGTTCCAGAAACTGACTGGAACTGATTTTTACCTTTAGGCCTTGTTTTAAAGAAGTAAATCTTAAAAAAAACAAAGCTAAACTAAACCAGGACATCTAACGAGGAGGTTGGTTAACAAGCAATAAGGCTTAAGGCAAAAGAATTGTTAGTAAAGTTAAAGATCTTTAGGAAGGCAAACCTGGAGCTTCCTGTGTTAGTTATATTCCAGGCTACTTGTACAGGCTGTGGGAGCTCTAGTGGCCTAGTGGTAAGAAACGGTGCTACAATCCCAGTGGCCCTCAGTTCAAATCCACCAGCTGCTCCGTGGGGGATGGATGGGTAGAATCCTCCTGTGCGATTTACTGCCTCTGAAAACCTGCCAGAGGGTCAGCTATGGGACCATTCCAACTCAACAGTACACAGCATAAAGCTGAAGGGAGCTCTAATGGCTTAGTGGGTAAGGAGTTAAGCAGCCAAACCAAAGTCAGGCAGTTCAGATCCAGTAGTTACTCCTCAGGGGAAAGATGAGCAGTGTCCTGCCATGTACTTTATGTTGTTGTTGTTGTTGTTGTTATGTGCTGTCGAGTCACTTGCAACTCATAGTGACCCTGTGTACAACAGCCCTGAAACCAGCTCTATCCTGAGCCAACTTTATTTTCTTTATAGACTCTGAAAACCTGCTAGAGGGGCAGCTGTGGGTCAGTTCGGAGTCTAACAATGAGGGTTTTGTGTGTATGTGATATGATCTTTTTTTTTTTTTAAATAGTGGTGGTTTTGTTTGTTTGGTTTTTCCACTGTGGAGCAGAGCAAGCTTTTTGACAGTCTCCATAGTGTTTTCTAGCCTTGTAAGAATGTACTTCAGTATCTCAGAAATCTTCTGCCCTTCAAAAGATCCACATGGCACAATAAATTTGGGCGCAGAGAATTTTGGGCCCTTCATGCATGCTCATTGTGGAAATGTGTGTTAACGTGGCCTAGAGCTTTGCTGTGACTGTGCTGCCATTCTTAGTTTCTGTACAACCTGATGGTAAGAAGCTGCACTGCGGTCCCAAAAGCATGCGGTTCAGTTCTGCTAGAGAAGGATGGGCAATCTTCTCCTACGTCATTGAACTCCCTCTGAAAACCTGCAGGAGGGTCAGCTTTGGACTGGTTCCTACTGGTTAGCACACACAACAACAACAACATAGTATATTAGTAGGCAGGGGCTTTCACGTAAATCTGCAAACCTGAAACTAAAGCTATGTAGCAGACAGGGACTCACTTTTTTTTTTCTTTTTTTTTCTCCACTAGGCATGTAGAACCTCCATATTCGCTTTGAGGGGCACGGCATAGCCCCTGAAAGGCGACATGGTCCAAGTGCTGCTGTGTGCACCACTATTTATGGGACTTACTTTTTTAAAGTCTTGTATTTATTTGACTTATCTCTCTCTCAAGTTTTCAAATGTCACATCATGACAACCATTATGCATCTTGACTTTATCTTCTATTCATTTTATTAAATTTCTGTTTCTAGGCAGAGATTCGTACGGATTTTAATATTCTCTACAATACAATGAAAAAGCATGAAGAATTCCGGTGGATGAGACTCCGGATCCGGCGAATGGCTGATGCATGGATCCAGGCAATCAAGGCGCTGGCAGAAAAGCAGAATCTTGAAAAGAGAAAGAGGAAGAAAGTGAGTTTCTTATTAATTCCGTTCACTCAGATTCCCGTTCTCTTTTAAAATTTGCTTCTGCTTGGAAACAAAACTAAGAAATGTCATATCTCAGATGCTGTTCCCTCAGGCGGAACCTGTTTTCTGTAAGTCTTCAGATACTCCTTTCCCCAGTTACGGTGTTCCTACCCAGCAGGGACCAGCACACATTTGCTGGATGAAGACAAGCAACAGAGGTGCCTGCAAAATTTTCTTTTGAACATTCTGACTGCAGGGCCTGAGGTTTGTTCTTGTTGTTAGATGCCAGCGAGTCAGTTCCCACTAGCAACCCTGTGGACAGTGGACTGAATACTTTGCTTTATAGAGTCAGGACATTGGTCCTCATTTCCTTCCCTGAATCCCACCTCTGGGAGCACACTGTTTATACCAATTCGGTTACATCTTCTTGGCAAGTGTGTATTTCTGGTCATTGGCAAATTTTGGGTTTGGACAAAGTATTAATTATAACGGTAATATTGAAACCAATGGCCAAATGTAGAGAGGAGGAGAAAGCTAATCCAATGGAAATGCTAGGTATGAAAATAAGATTTCACTGACTCTATCTTATTGTGCTGATTTGACTTTAGAAATATTTTGCATGGTTCAAAAAATTTAAACTCACTGCTTCCATGATGGAACCAAATCATAGTTGACTATCCAGTGGGTTTTCAGAGGCTACAAACAGCACAGGAGGAGATTGCCCATCTCTCTGCAGTGGAGCCGCTCGTGGATTTGAAGTACCACAGAGGCACCACATTTGGGTTAGCAGTGTACTCCCTACAGTCTGTGTCACCAGAGCTCCCTATTTTGTATAACTATAAAACAGTATTTAATTGTTGTTGTTGTTGTTAGGTGCTGTTGAGTTGAGTAAGACTCATAGTGACCCTATGAACAAAAGATCTGAACCCTGTTCTGTCCTGCACCATCTTCACACTTCCTGACACACAAGATTCCACCTCAGCAGTCACCATGTCAGGCCACCTAGTGGAGGGTCTTCCTCTCCTTCACTGACCCTTCACCTTACCCAGCATCATGTCTTTTTCTAAGGAATAGCCCCTCCTACCAGCTTGCCCAAAGTATGAGGCAAAGCCTCATCATTCTTGCTTCCAAAGAGCACTCTGGATGCACCCTCTCCAAGACATATCTGTTTGTTCTCTTGGCCTTCCATGGAATGTTCAGTGCTAGACTAGGGAAGGGCTGTGGGTCACATCATCAGTTACTCATATGTAAGTTCAAATTGGGGCTGAAGAAAATGAAAATAAGTCAACAAGAACCAAGATACCATCTTGAATCAATTCCATCTGAATTTCAGGATCATCTTAAAAATAAGTTTGAGGCATTGCAAACCAATGATTGAAGACCAGATGAGTTTGTGGGATGATACCAAGGATATCTTCTATGAAGAAAGCTAAAGCTCATTACAAAAGCAGAGGAGAAAGAAAAAATCAAAATGAATTTCAGAAGAAACTTTAAAAACTACACTGGAGCATCGAGAAGCCAAAGCAAAAGGAAGATATGCTAAGGTAAAAGAGCTGAACAGAAGATTTCAAAGGGCAGGTCAGTAGGACAAAGCAAACTATTATAATAGAATGTACAGGGAGCTGGAATTGGAGAATAAAAAGAGAAGAACTCACTCTGCATTTCTCAAGCTGAAAGAGCTGAAAACATATTTAAGTCTCGTGTCGCAACATTGAAAGATGCTGTGAGCTATATATGGAATAACCCAGAAAGCATCAAAAGATGATGAAAGGAATACACAGAATCACTGTACCAAAAAGAAATGATTGACACTGAAAAATTTCAGGAAGTACCATATGAACAGGAGCCAATGGTGATGAAGGAGGAAGTAGAAGCTACATTGATGGCAGTGGCAACAAATAAGACCCCAGGAATCTATGGGATTATCAGTTGTTTCAGTTAACAGTGCAGCCTTGGATACTCTCACCAGTCTATGCCAGGAAATTTAGAGGACAGGTGTCTGGCCAACAAATTGTAAGAGGTCATATTTGTTCTCATTCCCAAGAAAGGTGATCCAACAGAATGTGGAAACTATCGAACAATATCATTAATAGCAGATGCAAACAAAATACTGCTGAAGATCATTCAAAAATGGCTAGAACAGTCCATAGTTAGGGAACTGTCAGAAGTTCAAGCAGGATTTAGAAGAAGCCATAGCACCAGAAATATCATTGCTTATGTTACATGGATCCTGGCTGAAAGTAAGGAATACCAGATGAACTTCTATTTGTGCTTTATTGACGATGCAAAAGCATTTGACTGTGTGGATCATAATAACATTGATCCAGTAACATAGCTGACATTGAGAAAAATGGGAATCCCAGAGCACTTGATTGTGTTCATGCAGAACTTATACCTAGACCAGGAGACTGTTGTGTGAACAGAACAGTGGAACACTGCATGGTTTAAAAAGGAGGGAATGCATCAGGGTTGTATTCTTTCTTCATACATAAGAACAACAGCAACATTCAATCTGTATGCTGAGCAAATAATCTGAGAAGCTGGACTCTTTGAAGAAGAGTGTGGAATCAGGATTGGAGGGAGACTCATCAATAACCTGTGTTATGCAGATGACACAACCTTGCTTGCTGAAAATAAGGAAGACTTGAAGCACTTGTTGTAGAAGATAAGGAATGCAGCCTTCGGTATGGATTGCATCTCAGTGACAAGAAAGATTCTTACTACTGGATCTATAGGCAACATTATAATGGCTAGAGAGGAGACTGAAACTGTCATCAATCTCATCTTGCTAGGATCTACAATTAACACCCTTGGTACCAGCAGTGAGGAAATACAGAGACGCATTGCACTGGGAGAATGTGCTGTTAAGGACCCCTCCAAATTACTGAGGAGTAATGATGTCAGTTGAGGACTGAGATGCTTCTGATTCAAGCCAGTGCCTTTCCGATCACTTGCTATGCATCTGAGAGCTAGACATTGGATAAGGATGACAGAAAAAGGATTGACACTTTTGAGCAGTGGTGTTGGAGAAGAGCACTGAATATTTAATTACACCCACTAAAAATAGATAGAGATGAAGAACAAAGAAATCTCTCAAAATCACACAGGGAAGAAAACAAACTGGCTACATATTTTAGTTTAGAAAGCATCAAAAATGATTCTTTTCAGTGATTAGAACACAGTACTTTGAACATCCTACACCTTTTCTTGCTAATTCTGTATTTGATAGTTGTAATTTGATTCTTACTGAGTCAGTTATGTGAATTAAGTGAGCAGTTATGTTATTGTCCTTGAGAATTAACTTGTCGGTGTGGGAGAAAAGAGACAAGAAATGTCAGACAATCTTATATAAAAATGCTACAATTTTGAGTTTACATTGGAATTATGATTTATTTTGTCTTTGTGGAAAAATTCCTTTCTGCATTGAGTCCTAAAGTTTGTAATAAATAAACCCAGTAGTGATGAGCACCTAAGCTTGCTCTCTGAATGCCATTCCCACTATTAGGTTTCTGGGATCTCCTTAAAATAGCTACTTCAGGTGGGAGAAGTTTTTCCTGAAGAACTTGGATTATCTTATCAGAGAACAAAGAGGGTAGTAAGCACTGCCAGGATTGTGTTACAGGAACGTAGATGCTTACCGTGATAATGTCCCCTGGATCAGGTGGAACAATTTGATCGTAAAGTAATAATGCAGTGTATTGAAACATATCAAATATGTTCATATCTTGAACATGTACAGCTAAGCACAATTGATAACAGTGCTTCTAAATTCCAAAATCAATCTCCATAATAGTCTTTGTGTTTCCTACTGCCAAAGGGGCCCTTTAGAGTAGTGAGAGAAGACCTTCACCCTGAAACCCACAGCATCCCTTTTCAGCAGGAAGTAGCTAAGAGAATACGCCATCCCCTTTTCCTTATGAATCAGGGTGAAGTCTCTCTCAGGGAGGAGTGATAGGGAATAGCAAGGGACACACTGACAAAGGAGATTAATCAGAACTGGCTTTGACAAGCACTGTGGCAATTGGACAATTAAAACAGACATTGGCGGGGGGGGGGAGAAGAACGAACTGGGGAGGAGGGTAGAGAAAACAGTGCAACAATAAATGAATGAAAACCCAAAATCTCTGTAAATGTTCATTAAAACGAATAAAATTCAATAATAATAAAAAAATATGTTCATATCCAAGATTTTATAATGACTTATTTTAAAAGGACTTTATTGTCTAGCAAAGATAATAGTGACTGTCCAAAAATGTATTTTTTGTAGTTATTGTGTAATAAGGTAATCAATGTCAAATAAAATTTTATTACTTCTTGTCTTCATGACCTATTCACCTTCCTTCTCAAAATGTTGTGTGGAATATTTGATGTGATAGAAAGTATTTTTAAGTGCCATAGTTAAGGACCCAGATATTCACCCAGTTGCCTAAAGGATGTAGCTTTGAACTCCACTGTATCATGCAGTTGTGACCCTAATGACTTCTTCATAGTCATCCTTTACACACTTGGCTTTTATACAGCTTCACCTCAGCCTCTGTTGCACCTTGAGGAGCCCAGCTGTGGGCCCTGCCATGTGGTGCCAAGTGCTTCCTATATCCTCATCCAGCAGCCTGACAGAAATTCTTATAATTTGTTTTGTTGTTTTGTTTTAACTTCTTTAATCCCTATTGGTTGCTTTGTTGTTGAGTACCATACCTTTGAGCTGTGGTGCTGGAGAAGAGTACTGAAGAACAAAGATGTTTGTCCTGGAGAGGGTGAAAGCAGGCTGCACCTTGGAGGCAAGGATTCTGCGGCTCCATCTGACATACTCTAGACATGTTTCAAGGAGGGTCCATTCCTTGGAGAGGGACAACATTCTTGGGAGGGTGGAGGGAGAGCTCAAGAGAGGAAGACTCTCAATGAGATGGATTGACTCAGTGACTGGGGTAATAAGGGTAGGAGTTTCAGAGACAATAAGGCTAAGAATAGAGAAGGGTTCAGAGCTGTTATACATAGGGTCACTATGAGTCACAAGCAGCTCAGCAGCACTTAACAACAACAGCAACACCATTGAGGAAGAATTGACTGAGAGCTGACCAGCTAGCAGGTTTTCAGAGACAGTCAATTGCATAAGAAAAAATAGCCCATCTTACTCCCATGGACCAGCTCGTGGGTTTGAAATGTGTACTTTTGAGTTAGCAGCCCTATTCCTTATTACTAAGCCACCAGAGCTCCCTGGTTTCTTTGGAGTGTACCATAAAACAGTTCTCTGTTTTGAAAACTACTAAGTAAAGGAAGAAAGTATTTTCCACACAGTTTCATACAGGCACTACTACAGGGAAACAGAGTAGCCGAAGAAGGCTGATTTCTCAGTATTGAAACATTATAGCTAAGAAGTGGAGAAGGACATCACATTTCATAACTGCTTCTGTAATCAGCCTTGAAAACCCAGTGGATACAGTTCTGCTCCAACACACAGGTCTGTGCATGAGTTGGAGTCAACTTTGAAGCAGCAGGTTTTGGTGATGATGAATGTTTGGACCTAGTGGTGTTGTCTATGGCTGCTGACAGCACAGAGCAGGCACCAAGGCCTTTGCTTCCAGTGGGATTAAGGGTGTCACGTAGCAAGAAATAGTACCAGAATACCAAATCCTAAATTAACCAATCTGTGTCTCTAATTACCAGTTTACTGAAAATAGAAGGGGCTGAGGAATATATTGTATCATTTTCTTGGATTCAGCAAAATCCAGACTGTCATAGACACTCCTGGAAATACAACTGACTGTCTTTTCTCCTCAATAAGAGTGATGACTGTAGGTTGAAGGAGGTTAGATTTACTTCTGAATCAAAGAGCTGTTCTTGCAAAAAGCAGGGACAGTTGAAATATGGGCATCGACTCAGTATCACATGGTGTTGAAGAATAATATTCCCTTATACATGTGGTTATGATGTTGACTATGTTTTCAAAGCAAAAGTTTGTTTCTTTCAGCAATACTTATGGAATTATTTACAGGCAAAAAGATATATAACTAGGATCAGTTTTAAAATAATTCATAGTTTGAGAGAAAACAGAAGATGTAGATTAAATATAGGCCTTGGAAAGTTCAAATGATAGTTCAAATGATTGCTGCAGTCTTCTGCTAACCCTAAGGCTGGAGGTTTGAGTCCACCAACAAGAACCAAGGAAGAAAGGCTTGGCAACCTGCTCCTGAATAAATCCATTCTTGAGAACCTGGTGGATCATAGCTCTTCTCTGATACACATGGGGTCACCATGAACGAGAGTCCACTTGATGACAAACTTTTTTGAGAATTAAGTAGCCCTTTTCATGAGTTCGTAATTATTGAAGCTACGTGATGAGTGTATCAGTATTGGCCTCTTACAGTGTCCACTTTTCTATCTTTTTTAAATTTTCTGTGTTAAAAGTCAAACATTTTTCAACTGTGAAGGAAAGTCTAATATTGGTGTAAGACAAGATTGCATTATCCTGGCTCACTCTCTTTCATTCTGATTTTTGAGATAGATCTCATTTTTGAAAAGCAACTTTATTTCATCACCCCTCACGCTCATGGTGGCCTTGTGATAAGAAGCTGTGTTGCAATTCTAAAGGCACACAGTGTGGTTTGAATCCACCACTTGCTCTGTGGGAGAAGAAAGGGCATTCACCTCCTGTGCAATTTACTGCCTCTGAAAACTGGCTGGAAAGTCAGCTATGGGTCAGCTCTGGTTTGACGGCACACCACAACAACAGCATGCACGTAGATCAGTGGCAGTGATGTTGGTGTTAAGGGCCGTTGAGTCATAGATGATTCATAGCAACCCTATGAACGAAAAACCTGAACACTCTCATAACTTTAGTCATTCTCCACATTCATAGTTTCTAGAGGCAAGCTATTTTAGAAGTAGATGCCACTCCTGCTTTCAAGCTTGTTTTAATCAGGAAAATTCACCATGAGTCACCATTATTGCATTTGACACATCAGTGTCACAGTGTTCAGCATCACAGCAACCACAAGTTACCTCTCTACAGAAAATGGACAGCCCAGTGCTATACCACTTAGAAGAATGTTTGACCAAAACCAATTAAAACCAGGCCTGAGGGCCACAGATTAAAATCACCCACCTTTGGCTTAGTAACATAACTTTCTATCCACTAGGCCTACAGAGCTCTTTCAATGTTTCTACTGAGTTTCTTATTTCTAGAAAAATGACATTCCCTCTATTAAGATTCAGTAAAATATCAGTATGAGTTTAGAATTGATTGGTGGCCTAGCGTGTTGCTGTGGAGTCTGTCCTTGGTTGAATAGGAATCAATACATGTCTCTGTTGTTTTCTAGGTCCTGGTTCACCTTGGACTCCTGACCAAGGAATCTGGATTTAAGATTGCAGAGACAGCTTTCAGCGGTGGCCCTCTCGGCGAATTAGTTCAGTGGAGTGATTTAATTACATCTCTGTACTTACTGGGCCATGACATTAGGATTTCAGCTTCACTGGCTGAGCTCAAGGAGTAAGGAGATTACTTTTCAATTTTAAAATCAGAATACAAAAAAGAAATTGTAAACTCGTAAAGCCCTCTATTAATGTGCAGTTTCTTGTGGAGGAAAATGGAAGTGATAATTCACTAAACAGGAGATAAGAAGATTATTTTCAGGAGCTAAATACATACACTGTGAAAAGGATAATATGTGTTCATTGTAGCTGCCGGCACCAGAGCCTTCATAAATGAATGCCAGAAAATTCAAACGAAGGCACTTATTCTTTGCTATTCCAGGTGCTTCCAACATCTGCAGCACAAAACATTATTGACTTTTCTAAATGATGAAATTCATACGATTCCCAACTCAGCATCAAGCTTTCTGTCTTAAAACAGGGCAGGTTCCTGTTTATAATTTAATTTGGATGGAATGAATTTCCTGAAAGCCCTGATCCAATTCCTTTTCAATTAGCTTTTAACTCTAAGTCTGTTAACTATATACCTGAGTTTTCTGCTTCACTGAAATTTGCTTCTAGCTCTGGCCCTTTGAAATCCTTTTAGCTTGAGACAGCTAAGCAGGGACCCATCAAGACATTCTACCCAGTGGCCACATTATTGTGGTGCCATATGTCAAATGTTTTCAGAAACAAATTTCTAGATTTAGAAGAGATATTAAAACGTGTGTTCTCCCCTCTTCTCCTTCACTGACCCAGACATTCATGCCCTAAAAGGTCTCTTTGCTTGAGGCTAAGAGCCACACCTGGTCACTGGCAGTATTGAGATGAAAACAGTAATATTGCTGATAATACCAGGTTTCACTTGCTAAGTGATTTCCATATTCTAAATGCCGTGATAAAGACTTAATTAAAATATTCTGTCAACACTTAAGACAATAGTAATACTGGAAATGACTCTTCAGAGCCAACATTTGTGTAGTGTCTAATGTTTACCAGACAAAAAGCACTTTCATTTCAGTAGCTCATCAGTTCTGTCCTTGGCACAAACCCAGAAGTCCTTTTACTGCTTGCATTTTAAATATTTTAAATTGAAGAAACTGAGGCCCAGAGAGACCAAAACTGAAGCGTTCAGTGTCACATGGGTAGTGTTCGAGAGTCAGAATTTCAGTACTGCATCTGACATCAGAGCCTGTGCTCCTAACTATACGGCCACTTTCAAGGATAGATGGACGTGAGGTTTTCTGAACAGTGTTGCTCTTTATCCTGTGGCTTCGTGTTGCCATCTTCTTGTTTGCTTAAACGCATAGGATGTAGACATTGTAAAGTGGATTCATTAATCAGTTTATCAGTTGCTCTTTCCATGTTTCCTCTGGGCTACCGTTTGGAATGGTGTATGCAGAGATGACCAGCATGCGGTCAAAGGGCTGCCATTCTTCTGATAATTGCAACCCAATCTAATTAATAGAGGTTAAGATGTGGACACTAGGAGATGCAGAAACGATGTGGATACAGTTCACCATATTTAACATCCTGAATCGAGCCTGATACACACTGTGTGCTGATCCTTGTTTACTCATTGAGTATGTGAGGGGATAAAGGAGTGGGTGAGTGGTGAGCGGATGGAGTATGAGTAGTGGAGGGTAGAGCCCATTGAGGACACAGTCCTGCTCAGAGCGGAGAAGAGAGACAGAGACTTACTAGGCAGATTTAATTCTGTGATCAGGAGGATGTCTGCAAAGTTTATCAACATCTTGATGACAGAGGCAGAGATATTTTATTAAAGATGATAATTGTAAAAGCAACATACTACAGTAGTTCCCAAACTTGCTGATATATTAGAATTTCCTGAAACATTTTTTAAAATTCTAGTGCCTAATCTAGTGGAATCAAGGTTTTGGGAATGAGATGGAAAGTGAAGCCAAGCTGTTTGTTGGAGACAAGGATTTTGAGGCTCTGTCTAGCATACTCTGTGTATGCAGGCCGAGAGAGACCAGTCCTTGGAGATGGACATCATGCTTGGAAGGGTGGAGGGACAGTGCAGGAGAGGGAAACAGTGGATGACAGTAACTGGGGTGATGAGAGTAGGTGTTTCAGAGACAATGTAATTGGCCCAGGATAGAGCAGGATTCCAAGCTATTGTGCATGGGGTCGTTATAAGTCATGGTCGACTCAGTAGCACTTAACAACAACAGGTCATTATACTGGTAGAGACAGGTTTGGCTACTACTGAACAATAGTGCCACCAAACAAGAGTGCCAGAACACTCTTGTGTTTGTAAATGAAATTTTATTGGAGCACAGCCACAGCCATGGAGGCTTAAGAATTGGGCTGTTAACCGAAAGGCCAGTGGTTCCAACCCACCAGCCACTCTGAGGGAGAAAGATGTGCAGCTCCTGTATAGATTTCTAGAATCAGAAACTGTGGGCAGTTCTTTGTTCCAAAGGGTAGTTATGAGGTGGGTAGAAGTGACTTAGCTACAGTGGAGGATGCCAGAACATGCCTTAGAAATGAGGATGGTGAGATTGCATTTCACATACTTTGGACCTGTTATCAGGAGAGGTCACTCTCTAGAGGAGGTCCTCATGCTTAATAAAGTAGAGGGTCAGTGGAAAAGGACGAAGCCCCTCCATGGTATGAACAGCTATGCTGCCTGTCCCACTGGTCTCCAGCCGGCAGTGGCTGTGAGAACGGGGCAGGGCCAGGCAGCGCTTGTGGCTGTTGTGCATGGATTTCCTGTGAGCCCCCAGCAGCAGCACAACCGTGTGAGTGCTTTAGAGCCCGTGGGCCACCTGTGTATTTGACTGCCCATTGCAAAGTTAGCACTTTAACCTATTTTCGAAAAATCAGCCACTGAAAATCCTGTGGAGCACAGCTCTGCTCACACATCTAGGGCCACTGTGACACAAAATCAACTCAGTGGCGACTGATAGTGGCTACAGATGGCTACACTGGCATAGTTGAGTAGTTTGGCTTGAAAGGTGAAGTGTGTTTTCTGTAGGTTCCTTTACAGACAGTATTCTCACTCTTTCAAAGTCATCTGGAAAGAAAGTAGTTATAAGCATCCCAGCCTTTTCAGAAACACAGAAAAGAATGTCTAAACTATGACATTGTCTTTTGAGATCAAATGCCTTGAATTTGATGAGAAACTGTTGTAGAGTGTGAGCAGAGGCCTCAAAGATGTTTTTCTAGATAAATCACAGTGCAGTTAGTACTTAATTACTTCCTACCACGTGTGGATCTGGGATTCCAGTCAAGTGTACGGGCACTTTTTGAGTTCAAGGATGTTTTTAGATGGATGGATGGATGAATGGATGAGTGTAAAGAAAAGAATGAAGGGGGCTGAAGGAAAAAAAAAAGCTGTTGGGCCAGTTTTGAAATACAGTCCAGTTTAAGAGAAAATGGACATAAGAGAAATAGCTAGCGAATGATCAGAAACTGTACAGAAGAAGTTACTACAGTAGGCATTGGTAGAAAAGGTAAGTCAGTAGGAGCTGGAATAAATAGATTCATCTCTGTGAGAGAGACCACCAGTGCCTCAGGCTTCAGGACACATTAGGGACTTTCTGGTCCATAGCACTTAGTCCTCCTCAGGCCTCCATAGAGGTGGTGTCTTATGCAGTCATATCAAGCCTTTGTGTAAGTCATAAGGAAGGAAAAACAATGAGCCGAGGCAAGTTCAGCAAAGTGTCTCAGTTCTTGTTGCTGCTCATTGACAGCCAGGCCAGAGCTTCCTGCAAGTCAAAGGCTGTGCTTGCTCCACGCCGGAGGCTGTTTTCTTCAGAGTCAGAATAGGGGATCTGACTGGTTTGGATGGGTGGGAAAAATCTGGAGAGGCAGTGTATTTTGAAGAGCTTTGCCATTCACTTGGATGAAGCTTCTTTGAATGTTTATTTGCCTATTAACGTTGCCAACAATGTAGACAAACTATCGACAACAATAGACTATTTTATGCATAACCAACCCTAAATTGCCAGTAATAACACACTAAACTACAGTGACTACATCAGTAGACAGGCAAAACAGGCAGGGAGAAGAGCCTGTGAAAGGGATGGGTTCTTCTTGTGACAGATGATGTTTGAACCTGAGTGTGTATATGTGCTGCACATATATCCATGTAGAGAGCACAGACTACAAGGGACAATAAAAAGTAAAAATAAATAAAGGTGCCAATTACAGTGCCTTTAAGTAAATGATCTCTTTTTCCCCCTCTACCCTTTCTCTAGAATAATGAAGAAAGTTGTAGGGAACCGCTCTGGTTGCCCGACTGTAGGAGACAGAATCGTTGAGCTTATTTATATTGACATTGTGGGCCTCGCTCAATTCAAGAAAACTCTTGGACCATCCTGGGTTCATTACCAGTAAGTATACAAACTTTTACATACAGACTTGCTACCTCAAGGATTACATGCTTGCAGATAAGAAAGGCTTATCTTAGGAGCTGTGTAGAATACATTTCCTCATTTCTAATGGAAATTCATATTCTTCACGGTGACTTTTTTACCTTCAAGGCTATGCCTTATTTTCATTGATTTCTCAAGAATAGAAAACGAGTGTCTGATCTCCTTTTTGCCTTCCTTAATATTTAACATTCTTCTTCCAGTACACCCACACCAGTCTCATCTGTTTAATCAAATAACGATTGTGGTAAAATATGGGCAGTGCTGTGTCTCATGCTCCTTAGGTTTGAAATGGTGATTCATCTTTTTGTACCTTTGCCGTCATTGGTATTCTTGTTCTTGGAAGAGAAAGCTGTAGTACCTTGTGTGAAGGCTTCATCTGGCACTTGCCCATTGGGACTCTTTGTTACTTCATCTCCACTTTTAAGATGTGGGTTTGGAAGAAGTAGTATTTGGAATTCTTTTACATGCTTTTTCTTGGTACACAAACATAGCATGAAAATGAAGTAACACTGAATTACATAATGAGATTTATTAATTTTTCAATTTCGATTCAGCCTTTGTGAAAAGAGACTTAATGTAATGCTAATGTGTCTTCAACATTATTTTTCACACTAAGGTAGATTTTCAACAAAGTGAGAGTAGCTATAATTCTTACCATTTAGCAGGCTTATATGTCTAAGCTTAAATAAAATACTTTTTTTTTATGGAACTATATGTGCCTTTTTTAAGCTGCTGTTTATTATAGTTGATACTTTCATTTATGGTCTCAATAAAATATCTCTTTAAAAATAGTTTTAAATTGATGAGTAAATTTCAATAAAGATTATATTGTATGAAAATATAATTTTTGCAGCTTGGTAAACATTGTACCAGCCAGTAGTGAATGGTAACTCAGAGTTTGAACCAGCTTCCTAAGAGAAGAAGGACAATTTCTCCATTAACACTACTCAGTGTGTTTCTTTCTGGTTGATTATTGAGCAAAGATAATGGTCTGGCATGTTCTTCTGACTTAACCAGTAATAAAGTCCCTAATAACCTAAACTAAGATAAACAGTCAGCCCTCAGCTCCTAACCACAAGGATGAAAGTTTGGAGTCACTCAGCGATTCCTCTAGTGAAAGGCCTAGGTCTTTCCTGAAAACCTGCTGTTGAGAAGTTGCGCTTTGGCACATGTGGGGTCGACGTGACTCAGAGTGAAGAGATGGCAGCTGGCTTGTTTTCTTTTTTATTGATGTAAGCTAAATATACTGTTGCTGCTGCTTGTCTGCCGTAAGCCTACTAACTTCTAGCAAAATCTGACAGGAGTTGGAGAGTCAGGGATTGGACTGAGGGGCTCAGGATTGCATCTGTTTGAACAACTGATTCTTGGTCCCTATATAGGTTCTGCATGAGCATAATTAATACTCTTGGTATTAGCAGGAGATCAGGAGATGTATTGTACTGGGAAAGTCTATATATAGTCAGGGACCGCTCCAAATTATTGAAGAGCCGGTATGTCAGTTTGAGGACTAAGGTGTGTCTGATTTGGGTCTTGGTCTTTTCACTCACTTGCTATGCATCTGAGAGCTAGACAGTGACTAAGGAAGACAGAAGAAGAGTTAGTGATTTTGAACTGTAGTGTTAGAAAACAGTGCTAAATATATCCCTTGGCCTGCCCAAAGAATAGAGATATATCTTGGAGAAGGTGCAGCCAGAGTGCTCTTTGGAGGCAAAGATGATAAAGTTTCATTTCACATACTTTGGACTGTTGCCAAGAGAAGTTATTCCTTGAAGGAGAGGGAGACCCTCAACCAGGAGGGTAGACACATTGAGTGCAGAATGGCCTTGAGTGTGACAGAGATTGTGAGGATGGTACAGGATAGGGCAGTGTTCATCTGTTGTTCATAGGCTCACTGTGAGTCACACTCACTGGATGGCCCCTAACAGGATCTACAACAAAGCTAAGTATCTCTTTTGCAGGTTAGTTCAGAATCACTGTTGATGTTAGTCTTTAAAGTTCTTTCAGAGTGGACATCCTTTAGAAATTAGAAGGCAAAGAAATTGAAAATAGTTAGGACCCTCTTAAAAACAGGGTGGGGAGAGACCAAGGACTGTTGGTGGAATCTGCCCCGGCAGCACTTTCCTCATCAGGCAGTGCAGCCCATGATGTAGAGGGCCCACTGACAGACAGTCTTGTCTGTATGTTCTTTTGGTTATAATTCCTTTTAAAAACTCAAGGAAATGAAAAACTTGGTTTGAGCTATAATACAGTTCGTTCTACCATATTCCCTGTTTTTTGTTTGTTGAGGTTTTTTTTGTTTGTTTTAATTATCATGAATCACAGGTCACCTCATTTCTTCCAGCTGTGTGAAATAATCTTCATCCATCTTCGTTAAAAAGCCCCTTACTGAATATTTGTTGTTGTTGTATTTTTGTTTTGTAGTTGTTGTTTGTTTTGGTTGGTGGTTTTTTTGTTTTGTTTTGTTTGTTGTTGTTGTTTGTTTAGCTACCACATAAATGAAAAAACAAGATCCCTACCTCACTCCATATATAAAAACCAACTCAAGGTGGATCATGGACCTAGGACTAAAACCAAGGACTATAAACTTCATTCAAGAAAAGCTTGGAAAAA